GTGCCAGAAGGAGCAGCCTGGCACATAGTGGCACTCAGTTAATATTTGTGGAATGGCTTCTCCGAGAATCACAGGTCAAAGAGAAAGCTGGAAGAAGCAGAAAGAATCAAGAGCTCAAAGCAGACTCTTGTGCTATGCCAGATTTCACTCTTTGACCAAACCATGTTCCCATAATTTGCCAGATTATACATAGCTGATACTCTAGGATTTTCCCATACTATGATTCAAGTTATTGCTTTGCTGTTGTATGTAAGTATATGACCTTCTAATAACTCACAGGGCAAGTACCAGATAACAATGACAGGCAGATGCTGGTCTCAGTCCAGAGTCTTAAGAAAACAATGTTCCTCTTTTTTTTAAATATATATATTGATTTCAGAGAGGAATGGAGAGGAAGAGAGAGAGAGAAACGTCAGTGATGAGAGAGAATCATTGGCCGACTGCCTTTTGCACACCGCACACTGGAGATTGACTCCGAAACCCAGGCATGTGTCCTGACCAGGAATCGAACCATGACCTCCTGTTTCATAGGTCAACACTCAACCACTGAGCCACACTGGCCAGGCTAAGCAATGTTCCTCTTTAGAGTGGCTTTTAGACTTTGTGATATTGTAGCAAATTATCACAATTATGGACAAGTGTCAGAGAAAGATCCCACAATTGTTTTTTATTAAGCAACATTTTCTTGGACATGGGTGGGCTTCCGCCATCCTCCCTCCCATGATTCCATGCACTGCTGTGGCTGGTAGACAAGTGCGGGGCCTGACCAGCAGACCCTGAGCGACAGATGAATGGATTACTCCGACACAACGTTTGCTGTGAAAGAGAGGGCTAAGGGACTGCTTGGCTAAAGGAACCAGACAGCCTCAATTGCCTGCCTCATTAGGCTTTTATTGTAACAGCAGTTTGAGATAAAGTTTATCTTTAAGATACAATCAGTAGGGTAAGTAATCTTGGGAAGACACATGTGTTTGTAGGGTCCTTTAAGCAAGGACACCCAAAGATTAAGCATAAGGATTTCAGTAAACACCTGGGGGTCTGCATGTGCACAGACTTGGTTGGAAAAGGTCAAGGAATAATTAGGGGTGCTGCCTTTGGCACTCCCCTAATTGGAATTCTGATAAATAGGGTGGGTGGCCTTCTGCACACTTCCCTTTTTTCGGAATGTCCTCCTTACAAACTTTCCAACCAAGTCTCATGCTTTTCCACAGACAAGCAGGCATCAGTGTGTGTTCCAGGGAAGCATGTGGGCTCTCAGACCGGGAGTTGGCATTTAGCGACCTGGCTGAGAAACAATGTAGAAATGAAAAGATAAAAACGTGAGATATGTGATAGGGGCTATAGTTTGGAATAAATGGGTTCAGGCCCTCTGCCCAGTCAGCCTAACACTCTGGTAAGCTGCTGCATTTAATGGACAACTCCATTAACATCTTATTGGATGGAGGGAGGGAGAGAAAGGGAGAAGGAGAGGAAGAAGGGGCAGCAGAGAAAGAGGGAAAGAGAGAGAGGAGTGAGTGTATGTGTGTGTGTTAGGAGAAACTAAAAAGCTTGGAGCTTTCCTCTATGTCCCCAGAGGGATCTTCATGTGGTTTTTATAGTCTGTGTGTCATCACAGGCTCTGAAAGCTGAGGTAGAGCTGGGAAGGGTAGCAATTTGGATAGGGAAGAATGAGAACTCATACCACCTGTCTTCACCTCATTCCCACAGGATAGGGAGGATGAGAAGGGATATATCTTTCCCCCTTATAATGAAGAAATTGTAGGTCCTAGAATTCAGAAGATAAAAACATGGGGTATTGGAGGATGCCCTCTGAGAGCTTCTGTGATAATGAAGGTGGATGAGGAGAAAAGGGAATGGAGAGGTAAAGTGAGTCCCAGGATTCAGAAACTGGTTCATGAGTGAAAATAAACTGGTTCCCACTGCAGGAAGAGAGGAAGGACAAGTCTAAAGAGGAAAACAAAGAACACCATCTTCTGCTTGAGGGTGATTAGGTTCAGGCCCTCTCTGGAGGCAAGAGAAGGATGAGATGGCTTTTACCATGGCTAATGAATGTCCCTCAAAAAACTATCAGATAATCGTGGTGCCTGACACTTTCTGGGTCCCTGGTACCCAGAGAACACAATGGGTAGTAACATGAAATCACTTTTCTTTCCACTGAGTGATTTTTATTCTTAGTATCTTCTCATTGCAACCTTTTAGCTGCTTTCAGACTGTATCAGGGCAGAATATTGAACCTAACCATATCACAACTGCTAGATTTCCCTAGGGGAGAATGTGCAATAAGAATGGGCAGAGTAGCTCTGACCCAAGACTTCGCTTCTGGCCTTCCTGAATTTGCCCTTGCCAGCTCACCTCTTCTCAAAAGTCACTTCCAGAGGCAAAGCTAGGTATTTAGGGTGCTGCCTATCCACAGATACACAGAATTGAGTATGACTTGCCCAGAGACAAGTTCTAGGTCAGATCAAGACTATGATTCTCAAGTATACAGACCTGACCCTACATCTTAGATTGTAGTGCATGCCAGATTGGAGGGTATGGTGAAGAGGCCCCTGGCTTAGAGGTCAAAAGTGCTGGGTTCAGGTCCTGTGTGACCTTGAGTTATTACTTGAGTTCTTTAAATTTAGTTTTTTATCTCTAAAATGGGGGTAATATACCTCCCCCAAGAGGGCCTTTGTAAAATGCTGTTTTGGTGGAAAGAATTATTTCCTCATTTCTTTATTCTGTCTGATAAAGACAAAGATCTCAGCTTGGGAGGTGTGAAAGCTATTAGGTTCAAGATAGGCATCAGGAAAGGTATGTATGTGTTGAGGGCAAGGAGGGATGAAGGGAGAGTAAAAGATGTGGTGAAATGGTGTCCCCTGTAGTCATGGAGGATGTGACATGAGCTTCTTACACAGTTAAGAATCTGTAAATACCTATTGAATTGCTACCTGTTGTATAATAGGAAATACTTATTTTATTATTGTCCTCAGTTTCTGACAAAGAGCTCCTCAAACCTTTGGAAGTTCCTGAGTGTGTGCCTGTGTGTGTGTATGGGGGGAGGGGGGCGGGCGGTAATAGCTGCATCTTTTATTTCTGACACAGAGCTCCTAAATTCTGTGGAATTTCCAGGGTGATAGAAGTTTCTTTTAAATATATATATATCTACAATAATAAAAGTGTAATATGCTAATTAGGCCATCCGTCCTTCCGGAGGTCCTTCCAGACAACCTTCTGGACAAAGCTGGGGCTGCAAGGGACGCCTGAATTCCAGGTGCCTGCCAGAGGCCGGAGGGAAGCCCGGGTCCTGGGTGCCAGAGGGAAGCCAGTGCCGGCAGCCAGGGGAAGGAAGGCCTACTCTTGCACGAATTTTGTGCGTTGGGCCTCCAATATATATATATATATATATATATATATATATATATATATATATATTTATATGATTTCAGAGAGGAAGGAAAAGGGAGAGATAGAAACATCAATGATGAAAAAGAATCATTGATTGGCTGCATCCTGCATGCTCCCAACTGGGGATTGAACCCACAACTGGGGATTGTACCCTAACTGGTAATCAAACCATGACTTCCTGGTTCATAGGTTGATGCTCAACCACAGAGCCATGCTGGCTGGGCAAAGCTTCTTTCCAGGCAACTCTTAGTGGGACCCTAAATAGTTTCACAATGGAGGCCGGTCACCAGAAAGACTAAGCCTTGATTAGAAGCCTAGAACTTGCAGCTCCAATTCCCTCAACCTCTGAGGAGGGGAGAGGGGCTGGAGATTGTGTAAATAACAATCTATGTGATGAAACCTCCATAAAATCTCCTAAATGACAAACTTCAGAGAGCTTCCAGTTTGGTGAATGCATCCACATGCTAGGAAGGTGGTGCACTACAAATACATGGGAATAGAGGCTCCTGTGTTGGGGACTCTTCCAGACTTCGTCCTATGTACCTCTTCATTTGGCTGTTTGTTTTATCCTTTAGAATGTCTTTTATAACGTACCGGTAAATATAAGTAAAGTGCTTTCCTTAGTTTTGTGAGCAATTGTAGCAAATTATTGCACCTTGGGGGTGTGGGGGAGACACACCAAATTTATAGCCATGTTCCATTCCTAATTCCCCAAAGAAAGTATCTGACCCCCTTACCTTTTCCTACTAGGCCTCACCAGACTGTCTGAGTTCAGAGCTATGGTCAGAGAGCTTGGACTCCCATCATAGAATACTTGGCTGCATAAAATAAAAAGAGTAGATCACATTTACTGAGGTATTACTATGCACCAGGCACAGTGGTCAGTGCTCTTTACCATTTATCTCAGTAATATAATTGTCCAAACAACCCCACTAAAGTTGGTTGTAATATTTTCCCCATTGTGGAGATAAGGAAAACTGAAGCACAGAGAGGCTAGACAACTATTAAGTGTTAGAGCTAGTATTTGAATTCAGGCCAACTGGCTTCAAAGCCAGAGCTTGCAAGCAGCTTCTATACAGCTTCTGAGGTAGGGCTGTGGGAAGCTGGTCCTCTAAGCAAAGGTGGTGGGCATGCAGGCAATGTGATCTACCTGTGTAGTCCAGACACATCCTGCAGGACTCAAGGCAAACAAATTTGATTCCAGAGTCTTCCAGCTATTTTATGAGTGCTCCTTTAAGAGCTGGGAATGGGTGTGGTGTGAAAAAGGCTCCATTGCCATTTAAGGTTGATAAACACTGTGGGGTATATGGCACTCTTGAGATATTACAGTAAAGAAATGGCTTTGTGACCCTGGCCGGGTAGCTCAGTTGGTTAGAGCATCATCCTGATAGGTCAAGGCTGTGGGTTTGACCCCTGGTTAGGGCACATACAAGAGTCAACCAATAGATACATAAATAAGTGGGAGGGCAAAAATTGATGTTTCTGTCTCTTCCTCTTTCTCTCTCCCTAAAAAAAAGCAATTCAAAAAAGAAAGAAAGAATGGTTTTGTCCTTTATTGAATCTGGAGTTTTCTAAAATTATTTCAGCAGAGAACTCATTCTTTTCTTTGTTAGATGACTACTAATGTACAATAGACCACTATTCCAGGACGACTGATTTGAAAAATGCTCTTCTAGACTTACTCTCCACCCCACTACCACTCGGTCCACTTGAAGTAACAGCTGCACTTAGGATGGCAGCTAAGATTTCTGTGGAGAGCAAAAAGTGTTCAGTGGCCAGCCAGCTCAGATGGCAACAGGAAGATGCCAATTAACCAAGGTGGGCAGCTGCTGACATTCCTGGGCTTCATAAGGAGGCCATCCAACAGACTTGGGTGGTTTATTTCTTGTTTTCATTTCCCCTTGTCACTGTTGTTGTCTAGAGCCTTTACATGTCAATTCTGGACTGTCAAAACAGCCTCCTGACTAGTCTCCCTGCCAGCTGGCTCTCTGCTCCAGTCCATCCTGCACACCTGGCCAGATCAGTCTTCCTAAAATGCTGCTTTGAGCTTGTCACTCTCCTGTCCCAAATGTATTAATTCAGCTTTCAAGATGTTTTGATTGTCCCCAGCCTACCTTTCCTGCTCCCTCCTCACATCCTACATTGTAGATGAAGCTGACTCATTCTGGAGCCCCTCTGTGCTGTATGTGTGCTAATTTTTCCATCCAATGCTTGAAAATCTACCTCCCACCCCCAGCCCCCATCCCGTTTCCTCCTGTCAGATCTTGTGTTCTCATTTGTTCACTTACTCCATTCAACAAGCATTTATTTTGTGCTACCTGTATGCTAGATCCTGTGCTAGAATAAGACATAGTCCTTAACTTCAAGGAGCTAATAAATGCAGATGAATGCATGCTGGGTGATGCGTACTATGATATAGTGATATTTAGGGTTTCATGGACATGGCACCTATCCCTGCCTAGGGCACACCAAAGGCAATTCAGGGTAGATTTCCTGGAGAAAGGGATGTTTACACTTAAAGGGTGAAAAGACATGTGGTATGCTGGGGACTGGCTGAGGATGTGGTACCCAGGTCTTTGGTGCTGGGCTAACAGACAGGTTCTCCCTACCTCAGGGAGCATCCTCACAAAGAATCTCAGACTGATCCTGTTGATAGGGGGACGATAGATGAGGGGAAAGCATGCATACTCACCAGGAGAGTGGATTCTGGGGCTGGGAGGAGGGAAGGAGGACAATGACTGATATGTTCACTGCATCCTATGGTTTAGCAACTTCCCCCAATTCCCAAGTCGCATCTAAGCGATACATGCCACTGGAGCAGCTTGGTTGCCAGGGGCAACCCCAGAAGGCAGCCTCATTTTAAAGGCAGTCACTGAAGCCCCTTGCCCCAGGGCTCTGATAGATAACCCACAGGTCTCAGTCAGTCCCCCCTAGGAAGTGACAGGACAGGGTCAATGTGCACAGGTGGGTCTAAGTGAAGGGTGTGGAAGATAACCCTCCAGCCACGCAGCAGGATCTTGAGAAAAGAAAGGATTCAAAAAACAGATGGCATTTTAATCCGCCCGAATGTTTAATATGAGTAACATAACCTTGTTTTTCTGAGACAGCCTAATTTACTTCAGGCCTCAGGCTTAGTAACTTAACCATTGACAACCTGCAGGTCTATGTGTGTACGTGTGGGTCTGTAGTGCTAATGAGATTGCAGAAATGGTGAATTTCTCTTGGTCGCAGTTTTCCTACTCTGTTGAGGCTGCCCACCAATAGGTTTCTCCTTTTCTGATCTAGGATTTGTGATCTGGGAATATGAGCACTTTCTAGGGGAGGAAGCAGAACATGTAGGGAGATTATATATATGTAAGATTATATATATACATATACATATACATATACATATACATATACATATACATATATATATATATCTCCTGGTGCAACTGACATTAATTGGGTTTACCAAGGCTCCCAGCTTCTTTTCTCTGGTTCCTGCTGTTTTGCCTGCTGCTTTCCCCACAGAAAGGGAAGCCTGCACTATGTAGATTCAAAGCACCTGGGTTTCAGTTTCTGCTCTGTGACTAGACTAGAGCAACGTATTTAATCATCCTAAGCCTCGGTTTCTTCATCTGTAAAATGGAAACCCTGCTCAATCACAGGGTTATTATTGTAAATGGCAAATGAAGTAATTTATGAGAAAGTGTTTTTGTAAACTGTTAAGTCTTAATAATAAAAGTAAGAAAAAAAAAAGAACAATAAGCAGTTACTGCCCAGTATTGAGTGGTTACTGTGCCAATTGCTGTCTCTCTATTCATATTATCTTTTTAATCAATATATTTTTTTATTGAGATCCCCCTGTCCTTTAAGACTCAGCTCACAATTCACTTTCTCATAAGAACTCTTTTGACAGCTCTTGCTTGCGTTAGTTCTTAACTTTTCTAAACTAGTTTGCACCTTCTAAATAAACCCACCATTATTTCATAAGCTCAACTTTTCTCTCCCCAGCTGGAGTCTAAACTTCTTCAAGTTGCTCTATTTCACTTGCCTCCCCCAAGATACTGAACACATAGTAAATGCTCTAGAAAACTTGAGATTGAAATTTCTGGCCACATAGTTATTGCATAAATTGAGAATTCCCTACATTTTACAAAGCAAAGCCCTGAGTCAGGAGTTAGTTATTGCTCTTTGTGTTGGCCACTAGGAAAGGACCCATCTGCTCCATTCAGGTTAATAGCCATCATCTTTACAAAGCCTTTACCAAGCTCCTAGATAGAATTCTTATTGCAGGACCTGCCTCTAGAAATGCTAATCATGTTACCCTCCCCTTCCCCCCTTCCATCTCCTTGTCCTGCTCCATACCTTTCTCCATGTTCATACAAATACATACAGCATATACAGGTGAATTCTGTTATTAAAGGACAGAGTGGCCTTTCTTTAAGATTCAAGAGGATAGTAAAGAAGACTAGAGCTAGATATCAGAGCCTTTAAGAGGAGACTTCCTGCTTCTTCATTTCTCTCCAACTTACCTCAGATCACTGCCCTCTGGCCCAGTGCGCCCCAAACAAATGAGCCTCCTTTCTCACCTTAGGATCTGCTATGATCAGTCTCACAGCCTAGAAGCTGTTGCTCAGAGATCTTCGCCTGGCTGGCACCTTCATTTCATTTAGTCTTAGCCTAGATTACAAGTCTTTCCTTATCACCCAATTTAAAATAGCTTCCTTGTGGGGGGGGGGGGGGAGGAATATAGACTATACACATGTACCTGATTTTTTAAAATCCTCACCTGAAGATATGTTTTTTCATTGATTCTAGAGACATTGACGTTGTAGAGAAACATCAATCAGTTGCCTCCCATACGCACCCCAACTGGGGTTCAAATGCCCAAGCTGGGAATGTGCCCTAATCCCGAATCAAACTGGAAAATCTTATGTGCACAGCACAACATTCCAGCTAACTGAGACACACCAGTTAGGGCTGTATCTACTTTTTATATGAATAAATTTCTCTGGATGGATGCACAAGAAACTAACATTTGTTGTTTACAGGGAGGGAAACCAGATAGCTGGGAAACAGGGGCTTCTCTGCATATCCTTTTCTATTTTTTCTTTTAATTTAGACTTACTATATTATCTATTTAAAAAATTAATTCAGCCGAAACTGGTTTGGCTCAGTGGATAGAGCGTCGGCCTGCAGACTGAAAGGTCCCGGGTTCGATTCCGGTCAAGGGCATGTACCTGGGTTGCGGGCACATCCCCACTAGTAGATGTGCAGGAGGCAGCTGATCGATGTTTCTCTCTCATCGATGTTTCTAACTCTCTATCCCTCTCCCTTCCTCTCTGTAAGAAATCAATAAAATATACTTTTTAAAAAATTAATTCAAATAAAAAGAGAAAAAAGAAAGTAGCTCCTTGCTGAACATTCTTTACTTACTTTATAAATTTTATTTACAAGACTGGCAGTGAGCAGATTTGCCTCATCAGCCATAGTTTGCTGATCTCTACTCTATCATATTTTATTTGATATTCATCCTAACTGATTTTTAGTTTATTCATTTCTTATCTGCCTTCTCCCACTATAATGCAAGCTTCATGAAAGCAGTATATGTTTTGTTATCACCATATCCCTGTACCCGGAACAATTCCTGACTTTTATAGTAGGTGCTCAAGTTGGGGTGCGTATGGGAGGCAACTGATTGATGTTTCTCTACCACGTCGATGTTTCTCTCTCTCTCTCCCTTCATATCTCTCTAGAATCAATGAAAAAACATATCTTTACCACTTGTTGAATGACTGAGTGCTTGAATGAATTATATTTGTCTGAACTGAAGGGAAGAGCAGTCCTATTTAGAAGGAGATAAGGTAAACTTTTGATAGCAGCCCCTCTAGGAGTAATACTGTAGTTCCCCCTTTCCATAGTTTTGCTTTCCACAGTTTCAATTACCCACAGTAAACTGAAGTTTCAGAAATAAACAATTCATAAGTTTTAAATTGTGCACCCTTCTGAGTGGGGTAATAATCTCAGCTATACAGCTCCATCCCACCTAGAATGTGAATTATTCCTTTGTCTAGCACATCCATGCTGTATATGCTACCCACCCATCCCTTAGTCACTTAGGTGTAGCCATCCTGGTTATCAGATTGGTTATCAGTGGGGGGGGGGGGAAGACCATATTTATATAACTTTTATTACAGTATATTGTTATAATTGTTCTGTTTTATTATTGTTAACCTCTTACTGTGCCAAATTTATAAATTAAACTTTCGTATAGGTATGTATGCATAGAAAAAGGTATGTTTTTTAGTACTATCCAGGGTTCAGGCTTTCACTGGAGGTCTTGGAACATATCCCCAGTAGATAAGGGGGACTACTATAATCTCTAGTTTGGTCATTCTCAAGAAAGTCCAACACATAGTTCTTGCCTCAAGGAGTCCTGCTTCCTGAAAGGAGATTTGAAACTTAAAACCAAGTACCTGTCCTCCTAGGATGTGTTCCAGAAAGTAGAGAAACCAGTGGATTCACCACTTTTCAGTTTAGGAAGAAGAAAAACACACACACACACCTGGGAAATCTGCTCAGTTGGCAAGTTGAGCTTTGCAAACAGTCACCCTTGAGAGAATGAGGGAGCAAATGCTCATTGCCAGAATGGCATGGGTAACAGCCAGGACCTGGGGAAGGGAGAAGGGGAAGGAGGGAGAAGGGGAAGGAGGGAGTTCGGCACATTAAACTTAGGCAGCACATTGCCCTGAACAAACAACCTGTGTCACCATGTGCTGGTTAATTTTTGAAAAGTTTTTGAATCAACATATTCTCTGCATGTCCAGGGCTGGGCTTTTGCAGCCATGCAGCATGCTAGCCCAGAAAGTGGGGGGTCCTGAAGGGGAAGCAGCTCCAGATGCCACTGGTATTACCTGTTTGAAGAGCCAAGTGATAACAGACTAGCCTATGCACTCGATTTGCCATCTCTTATACCACAGTATACCTAGCACCCAGCAGCATTCTCTGACTCATCAGAAAGGAAAGGGAACAAAGGAGGGGGACCTGGGGCATGTGTTGCTTTGAACAAATCTGCGCCAATGTAACATGGG